GCTGCTGCTGAAGGTACACCACCTCCTCCTCTGCCACTGCTGCCACCGCATCACTGCCATCATTATCAGCACCACCACCACCATCATCACCGCCACCCCCACCGATGTCCTCTGTTGCAGCATCCTCTCAGTCATCTGCATCATCATCATCTTCTTCGTCCTCTTCCCCTACTTCTTCCTCTACATCCTCATCATCGACCACCTCATCATCAACGCACTCATGGTCAGATCGGTCGTCACAAAGGCCCTGTCGGCCGAGGTCTCCGTTGTTAGATCGATTGTTACAGACGCCTCTTCAGCGGAGACGTTCCCCTTCCGACGACATGCTCGCAACCGTACGGAACGACATCATCGCTTTCAGTATACTTTTGCGAGGAATAGTGCACATCAAGTCCGATGCCTGCAATGTGGCGATGATTTCTTCAGTGCTGCTTGCTTACGAGTGCACCAGACACGAGGTGCAGCTACTTGTGCAGCAGCGTTTGCACGACTAGCAGCCACCCTAAGCACAAGTGAGGCTGATCAGCTTCCGATTCCCACATCTGGTCCACCCAGTTCTCACCCACCTGACCCGCCCCTCTCTCATCCACCTAGCCCCACTCGCTCCCCTGCCCCAAATGACAATGGCCCGACTCCTGATTACCTGACGGAGCCCCCGGTTGAAGATCATCTCTCTCTGGAGCACATACCGGAGCCAATTGGTCAAGACCACAACGAGTCTCCGCCACCTGGGCAACCTGCAGAATCGAACGAGGATCCCCCTCCCGTAAATGGATCCCCCACGCAACCTGTGGAATCAGACACTACAGCGAGGGCGCTGTGCGTACTATGCCATTAATGTATGTCTCCTTGCTTACAATTGTAATCCTTATACTGTTGCTGATTTCGCAGACGTTGTTCGCTGGATAGAAGAAGAGCACCGTGCCGTCTGCCCAGACGACGACAGCGCTGCGCCTGGGGTGAATAGAAGTCCTGGCTATGGCATTTATGGGTAGGTGACTGCAATTCCAGCCTGCTCCGCAAAACCACGAGCCAGGCACGGATCCGAATATTCGGGCATATATCTTATATCGTCGAGGTCACTTCAGTGCTTTTACCTTTGCAGATAATTCATGGACCCTATGGGACAATGGCGTTAGGGTGCACACAGTGAGAAATATTAACTCTTTGTATCACCAAATGCTGGAGGGTCACTCAATCTGGCTCATCCATCAGGAACAGTATGTCGATGAGCATTTGCAAGCACTGGACCCCCCGGAGAGCAATCCTGCTGATTCTGCCACAAACAGTGAAAGGACCTCTCCACAGGATGATGGCTGTGCCGTCCCGTTGTGTCGTCGCACAGGTACAGTTTGGTTGGCATGTATACAACATAGCCTCTGCTCCGAACACTATGAAGGGATGGTCGCTGCTATAGCCTCTCATACGAAAATTGTGATCCCCAGTCCTGTGCTCATCCCCCCCCCCCCTGATTACTTGCCCAGCATGTGGTTGTGGCCTTGATCTGCCATGCTTAAATAACTGTGCACGTCGGCCTTCCAAACTAATGACATGTCAGCAACATGCCATGTGTCGTCAATGCTTCCAGGAAGCTGTCATAGAAAGTATGTGTCTTTACTGTGTGGACTATCCTTGGTGCCATCACCCTCCACATCCTCTCCTAGCATGTCCTGCATGCGGTATTGGTCATACACCTACGGCAACCACTGACGGATCTCCCTCTTTCATGCCAGACGAATGATGAACACAGCAGTCCGAGGAGGAAAATAGACTTCTATATGAACCACCGGCAGAGCGATGTGCTCATAGTTTATCACCACCAGGGCGAGCTGTTGCGGATCATATCCTGCAGCAGATGAATGCCCTTGCGTTGGACCGATCCTCCCTGTCGTCGTCTGCCCATAGAGAAGGAATACATACTGAGGAAGCCCAAGAAAGATGCTCCATACCGTTTTCTGATGACCCGCCGGAGATTCAACTAGCATGTGGTTCACATGCCTAGTGCCGTGAGGATTATGAAGGTATAGTCCATGCGAGTTTTTGCTTCCATACGTACGATGACAGTCAGTACTGTACTCATATACGGCACCTCGACATGTCATGTCCACTTTGTAGACGGGCTGGAACGGCAATGCCTCTATAATTGCGGTCGACGTGCCTCTGTGTTCCTAGCATGTACGAGCCACGTAGCCTGTGACATCTGTCTGCGCCGTGCCATTCGATGCAGCAACTGTGACTGCGAAAATTGGATGCGGTGCTTCCATAGCCCACACCCGAACCAGTCCTGTCCGGTCTGTAGGGGTGGCCACTCGCCATAGTTTTTTCTTTTGTTTTGTTTTGTTTTTTTTTAGAAGTCTGTGCGAGGATATAGTTCCTTGGCAGTGTCTGAAAGTGTCGTGCCCGCCCTAAGTGAAGGTGGGCCTGAGGGGCCCAAGCAGAGCCTGTTGTAAACCCCATGTGGGAATGGATCTTCGACGAGGCCTTGTTACGAGTTGGCTCCTTGGCATGCCCTGTAGGGCCCTATCATCAAGCATGAGCCCGCCCTAAGTGAAGGCGGGCCCCCTGAATTTCAATATGGCCTGAGTTCGTCAAATTTGGTAAAGGTTGGTGGGTGCCAGACAGTTGCCATGCGCCAGTTGGTTGCATCCTCCATACTCGTGAGAATCAGAAATAATTCCTGAGTCTTCTAGGCTCTTCCAGCAGCACAGGCGAAGCAGGGAGAACCTCACGTTTACCCCTGGGTGGTTGGGCAGGCTCAACCAATTCCGTCCCAGGCCACTGTATGAATGGGCCTGGGCGCAGACACTCTGGCCCGATTGGAAGCTACCGGAAATACACAAGGCCCAGCCAGGGAGCAGACTGGGCGAGCACTTTCCATAAAGGAAAGAGCTCGCCACTGGTGGAGGCATTCGGGCACTAGGCAGTGCTGCTTGAGCGTGCGCTCGCAGGCTGTGCGCTGGGCACTAGCGCTATGTTATGAACATGATTGTCCGTTGAAATTTTATCAACGCTCACTCACAGGAACTCCAATACACGCCCATACATGCACAGAAGCAAGGGGAGAGGTAGTGGAGTGTCACACCGCCCAACAAAGGAACGCAGCGGAAGACTCAGAGGAGCGAAGTGACAGAACACACAGAACTGTGGATTCTCTCCACACAAGTCCCAACAATCATTCATAGAAGACAACCGAGTGATCACAGCCAGAAATCCATGAAGAGATGACAACTCAAACACAGTAATACAACTGTTTATTAAACTCAGAGCATCGTTTTCCCTGAATAAGCTCAGATCCCTGTTGCGCTACCCTCAGAGGGGTAGCCCCTCAACCCCGCACACTCCGAGCAGCTAAAAATAGCACCAGAACCCCAGGTAACACCCAGCGCCACCCTGACATCCAACTCAGTGGCCTGCACCAAGATGAAACAAGCTCCCAGAGCCAATCGCCACCCAGATGATGAAGAAGAAGCTCAGCGTCAACAGTCCCTGATGACGATGAAGTCCAGACGATGATATCCTCTGAGAAGATGCAGCTATGGCTGCATCGCCACTGGGACCCTACTCCTCAGGAGGGTCAGCAGTGCACCGCGTGCTCCAACGCATCAGACCTCTAATAGCCCAGACCGCTTTGACTCCCAGAGAGTCAGAGCGGACAGCGTTGACCCCAGTCTGGTCAACGCTCCGAAGGTCTGGCTATGTATGTTGTCTCCCACACCGGAATCAGCAACCACGACCTGATACCGTGTGCGCAGCAACTTCCACCACGAAGTGTCAACTGCCAAAAGCCCAGGACCGATGTCCTCATCCTATCTATACCCTAAGCTAGCCTAAACATGACCTAGACCGGACTGACTGACAGACCGGTACCGTTTCTGTTTCGGCCTCTACGGCCTCTCCCTACCCGGCTATAGGCTATAGGACCGTCTGTCAGCGTAGGCCTATTGGGCCTGTCTGTCCTGGGGGTAGCCCGGGTCTGCTATTCGCAATTAGGGTAGTTGTAGGAAGTTCGATATTTCCTATATTTACAAATACGTCCCTCACGAATTTTCCTTACAGGTAGGTCTCTCAGTTAACCCTCAACCAAATAAAATTACAAATTTGTCCCTACCTAGAGTACAGCCTCGTCAGATATATGCTACATGCAACCTGGAACCAGCAAGTCATTGCACACCTACCCTCCCCCGGAGTGAGGACCTCCGAGCTAGGGGCGTAGGCGGTGTGCAGAGCGTCGAAGGGGCTCTCCCCTTTGTGCAGCCTCATACTTGAGGATAACGGACTTTGCTGTTTTAAGAAGCTCGTTGCGAGTAAACCAGCGGTCCTCGATATGGGGCTGGTAAAGAAACTTCACAAGGTACTCCTTATCCGGGCCTGTACCATACTCATCCTCAACTGATTCCACCTCATATCCCTTCCCAGGGATAGGGGGACCAAACTGAGGAGGCCTGTTTGGAAATGCATCAGTTGGGGTAAACGGTAACAGCTTGGATGCATGAAAGACAGGGTAGGTTTGTAGATGCAGTGGGACGTCCACGTGATAAGAGGGACCGAAAGGGTTAGCTCCCACTGTATCCAAAACCTGCCATGGACCCATATAACGCGGCAACAGCTTGGGCGAAATGTCCTCCTCCCGCGATAGCTCGGAACTGAGTACCCAGAGCCAGTCACCAGTGTGAATGGAGGATGGGCGACGATGCTTGTTAGCCTGTTGAATCATAGCCTTTTGGGCTTTGAGCAGGTTAGCTCTAGCTCGTTCGATATCCCTCTCGTACTGTCTAGTGAACGTTGCAGTCCCAGGCGTCAGTCTGGGGGTAGCCTTATCGATGATGTCATCGAGAGGCTGCCGTGGTTCACGTCCCCAGTGCAATCGATAAGGGGTGAACCCTGTGGAGGAGTGTACAGACGTATTGTACACCAATTGTGCCCGTCCTAAGTGGAGATCCCAGTCCTGCTGATCAAGGCTGATCACAAGACGCAGCAACTGAAAGAGAATCTGGTTCGTCACTTTAGCCTGCCCATTGGCTTCAGGATGACGACCAGATGTCATATCCAGTCTAGAATGAAGGTAGTCCTTACAGTAGGACTGCCATTCATTGCTGCAAAAGCGTGGGTCTCGGTCGCTTACGATAGAGGTGGGTGGCCCATGGTGTGTAACCCACCGTTCAGCAAAGGCCGCCTTGACGGCCGGGACTCTGGCTTCCTCTGACAGTGGGATGACTGCATATTTAGAAAACTTGTCCACACATACCATGACCTGATGCATACCTCGAGGAGTAGTCCTCCCCAGGTCAGAGAAATCAATAGACACTGACTGTGCAGGTGCATCAGGGATGGGAAGTGGCTGTAGTAAGCCAAGGCGAGGTCGACGAACAACCTTATTCCTTTGGCATAACTCACAGGTTTCGACATAGTGCAGTAGGTCAGTCCTCATCTTTGTCCAGAAGAACCGTTGCGACAGGGCTGCTAACGATTTTAAGGCCCCAAAGTGGCCGCGCGCATCCTGACACTCAGACATCATGAGTGTTCTGAGCTGGCGGTCTTGGGGAATGCACAAACGCTCCTCTCCTCTGCTGCAGGTGCACAGCAGACCTGAAACCAGTAAATACCCTGGTTCAGATGCAGGATCAGTCTGCAGATTCCTGACTATACGGCCGAAAATCGGGTCCTGTGGCAACAACTGGGCAATGGTTTGACGAGTACTCTCCCCAAAGGTACGAGTAGAGGAGATCAGGTAGAGAGCGTCAGGCCTACGAGAAAGGGCGTCTGCTACGCGATTGTAGCAGCCCTTCTTGTGTTTCAGTTCAAAGTCAAAGAGATCAATGAACTGAATATAGCGTGCAAGCTTGTCATTCAGTTCCCCTAGGGTCTTCATCCACTGTAGGGTGGAGTGATCTTAATAGATCTTGAAGTGCCTGCCCATGAGGAAATGTTTCCAATGCTTGATCGCTGACACTAGAGTGTACAACTCTTTCTCGTATGTAGAGTCCTGCAACTTCTTCACTTTGGTCTTCTTACTCATGTACTCAACAGGCTGCAGACCATGCCCATTGTCCTGTTGAAGTACCGCCCCAACCCCATACTGGCTAGCATCAGTAGTTAGTACGAAGGGCAGGGTAGAGCCAGCCCTTCCCCAAAGATTACATGTTTCAAATAAGTCACAAAATTTACTCCAAAGGATGACTTTTCCCTGTTGATCTTATACTGGGCGTCATGTAGTGCCTGGAGAACTAGAGCCAGACGTTGCGCATGCTCCTCGATAGATCGACTGAATACCAGGATGCCATCCAGGTACACAACTACAAATCTATCCAGGTAAGACCCGAGTATGCAATGCATCTCTGTCTGGAATGTGCCAGGGGCATTGTAAAGACCGAAAGGCATGACCAGATACTCATAAGTGTCGTATCTGGTTTTGAAGGCAGTCTTGCGGACATCGCCTTCAACCATCTTTTTTTTTTTTTTCTTTTTTTTTTTTTGACAACTCCACCGGCGTTAGTAATGCTGATAGGAGCAAACACCACTAACACCTGGGGAGAGGCTCCATCTATTGGTGGGGAGCATCACCTGCTGGAAAACGGGTCCAGCGTCCCATATACAGCCAATGATACTGTCTGAACAATGAAACCAGTAACTGTGAGATCCCCTAATCTGTGCCTCTTCACCCTCCAAAGAAGGGCGCCATCTAAAGCTGATAAGGCCTGGCACTAAGGGGTGTCGATCTATATTTACGACTAAGATCTTTAACCCTCGACTTCACTTTTCATCCATCCATACCACACCACTGCATTCCTACTAGGCAGTTGGAAGGGGGAGAAAGGGGTCGGGGAATTCTTCAAGGGATTTCAGAGGTAAAAGTTGTATCTATTTTGACACAATCATGGAAAATCAGACTGTTACATGCTAATTCCACCCCCCCACCCTCCCCCCTACTAGCTACCAGGTGTCGTTTCTCCCTTGCCCGATCCTTGTGTCTTGATGCTTCCTTCTGCTAGGAATCCCCTCCTCCATACCACTGCTCCCCTACCATAGCTAGAGCTGGTGGTGGGAAAAGGTCGGGGAAGTTCGAAGCAGGGCACCAAGGGATGTCTTGATGGATATCTGTCCATTCTTGAAAAAGAAGATGGTAGTTCCTGCCATTTTGTCCTACAATTCCCCCCCCCCTCCCATTGAATATTTGCAATGGGCTTCCCCTGGGTCCCCCCCAGCCAATCCTCGCTGAATTGTTGGATGTGTTCCTTGATTTCTGTTTTAGTATGTAGGGTTACTATTTTTTTTTTTACTTTTTCCCATTGAATAGTAATTTCAGCTTGCATATACAGTCTAATTTCTTCCTGTAGGATTTGGCCATCCAGTCTTACTGCCTCCATTTCATAAACACAACGTCTCCTCCATGGCGCCCAGAGCATCGCCCGCCTCCCAATTTTAAACATGTTCTCTTCGAAGGATGTAGCCTGTTCCGGGTGCCATGTTTCACACAGTAGTGCCTTCCAATCCCATGGCCAAGTGATTATGGTGCCCATCTGTCTCCAAACCCTTTCCCACCATCTCCATAGCCATACTGACCCTGGGCACTATAGGAAGATATGCTCAATTGTTTCTGGTCGGCATCTTGGTGGAAAGGTCGATGAGCAAAGTTTGCACCACGGCAAGGCTAGCCCTCGTTGTTCCAAGGTTGTTCTATCAATCAGCCAGTCGTTTGTGGGTAGGCAGCGGTGTTCAATTTGCCATTGCAGTGACGCCACTTTCGCCGGGGAGGCCCTACTTAGTCTAAAGACTCTAAACCGTCTTACTGAGCGAAGGGCCTCTTTTCCCACATTTAGGGGCCGCATCCACCTGTCCTCTACTATGCCTTTTAAGTTTCTTTTGGGGCGCAGCAGTCGATAGGCTGATTTGACTGACAGTGTGTGTAGCTGTCGCTGCCCTTGTTTTCCTTTACCCATGGTTAGTGTCCAGGTCCAGTTTTCCGGATCAAAGCCAAGGTGTGAGATCGGGGTGGTTGGTTTGTATGCGAGCCATCCATCCCTTTCTTTTAAGACCCGGATTCTGTATAATTCTAATATTTTATGCCATTGTACCTTGTCTCCTTCCATTCTCATAAGCCTATCGTCTGAGGCTCTATGGAAAAGGTTGACTAATATTTCTCCCCCCTCTTCTCGTGATGGGCTTGTTTCCACTACATTTCCCACTACTCCCTCTTGGTCTTTTATGCCCACCCAGTCGCTTTCTTCCAGCGTCGGTTCCTTTTTGAGACTGCGAACCCAATCTAGGGGAACAACAAAGACATTTGTCTCCAATGCTTCCCCTACTTTGCGACAGTATCTCAGTTTTTCTCTTAACTTAGGTTTGGATATCCAGTCTCCCCACTCCGGATCCCACATATGTCCTACTCTTAGGACACCGTTTTTGGTCCATCCTTTCCAGGGGGAATCCGTGCACCGTAGCACCCTACTGTTAGAGTTTGTTATCCCCACCGATTGTCGAAGAGGGGTTGTCTATATACTTCCTCCCAGCGTAGTGGTGGCACTTTATCTGGGGGGGGGATTTCCTCCATGTTTTTATAAGGGAAGTCCAAAAGGCATCGTTTTTTAGGTCCCTTCTAGCTGCTTGCCTGTCCGTATCGGGTTCATCGTCTCTGTCAGGTTATGATCTAGGAACAACCCAATATCGGTCTTCTAGCCAAGACGTCGGGTCTGTGTCCAGGGGGGCCATTGGGGCCAGCCAGGTCATCTTTGTAGTGTCAGTGCTTTCCAGGGGGTCTGTGGATCGAGGAGTAGGTGTTTAATCCACTGCAAAGCTGAGGCCATCACCTGGCTAGATGGGTATATGATCCCCAACCCATCTTTGGTTTTTGGTTGGATTACCGTGTGCCAGGCCACTCTGCTAATAACATTAGGACACTCGTGGTTCCCCCTCCACAGGAATGCCGCCACCTGTCATTGGAGGGTGGTCGTCGCCGATTTGTTGAGTGACCAGAGTGCTGTTTTATACCACAATGAGGCAAGTGCTACATTATTGATTACCAAAGCCCGTCCCATCAGCAAAGTTCTGCTATCCTTCCAACTGTTCAGCTTTCCAAGGACCGGCTGCATCAGCCATTCATCATTTGAGGGCGGTTGCCCTTCTGTCGATAGTTTAACTCCCAGCACCCTGATCGGGGCCTCTTTTGGCAGCCATCGAATCCGCGGAGATTCCGGCGGTCGGGCCCCTTGGTAGTGTATCCACCAGCCTTCCGCTTTATTTCCCCAGTTAACCCTCATGTCTGATAGATTACAAAATCGGTCCATCAATCGACGAACTTCCTCCATGTTTTCGGCTGAGGCTTCCACCATGAGGGTAAGATCGTCAACAAAGAGCGAACAGATAGGGATTGCCTCCTCTTACCCTTATTTTCTTAATTTGCCTGTGAGTACGCAGGTTCGCCGCTAATGCTTCTATGATTATTACGAACAGAAAGGGAGCGATCGGGTCGCCTTGGCAAACCGATCGTTCCAGACGAATGGGGGGAGCCAATCTGCCATTCACCTGCACCCGCGTCGTAGCATTTTGATGAAGGATCTTCACCAAGCGTCTAAAAAGCGGGCCGAAATTGAGTTTCTCTAAGCATTGATCAAGGAAAACCCAATCTACATGGTCATATGCCTTTTCAAAGTCCACAAAAATGATAGCAGCGTTGTGTCTAGATTGCCAAGATAGCTTAATGACCTCATTAATGAGGAGAATGTTCTCCTGGATCTTCCTGCCTTTAATGAAGCCGGTTTGCGCTGGGTGTATGATGTCCGACATTATTGGGGTCATGCGATTTGCCAATGTCTTTGCTAGCATTTTATACACCACAGTCAGGAGTGTAATCCGTCGATAGTTTCTAATATTCATTTTGTCTCCTTTCTTGTGAAGCAGGGTCAGTATCCCTTGTTCGACGAATTCTCCCATTTGTCCTGTTGTCCAGACCGTTTGGTAATATTCCATCAGGTCTTGCGAGAGGGAGGGCCACATTGTTTCCCAGAACTCCTTGGGTAACCCGTCTATTCCGGGAGTTTTCTCTTTTTCCATTTGCATTAGTGTCGTTCATATCTCCTCTTTTGCGGGTGGCCTCTCTCGGGTTCCCTTTGTTGTTCTGTAATTTGTTTATGAAGGGGGGTCAAAATTTCATTTATTTCTTGTATTCTTTTGTCTTCAGGGATGTGTTTACACTATGATGAAAAAAGTTTGTGGTAGAATTTCCTGGCTATGTAGACACATTGAGGTGTGGTGGTGGTCAGTTGCTCTTGGAGTCCTTTTTCTAATGCTGTTCTAAGGCTCCCACTATTTTCCAGCAGGGGGATTAGGCTTCTATATGCGTCATCCCAAAATTCCTCCGGGAGGTTTGCATATCGGTTCTGCAAACATTGCAACAACCATTCAGCCACCCGCCTCATCCTATCTTCTAATGAGTTTTGTTCCTCTGCATCATCTGCTCCCCTTGCCTCCTGCATCACCACATCCTCTAGGGGAGGAGTATCCTGAAACACTCCTCTTTCCTCGCCATTCCTTTCGCCCGTCTCAACGTCCATTGGTGTTGGCCCAAAGGCGTCCTTAAAAATGTTTCTCGGTGGGGCGAGACTGTCAGTCTGGCTCCCCCCACTTTCCGGTCCCCCTTCAGCTTCTTGGAGTGCCGCAAATCTATCTTCCCATTTTCCTCCCCCATTTTGCTTTTTCTGTCCATTCGATGCTAGCACTCCCCCTTTGCCCTTACCTCCATCTCCCTGATCCCCCCCACCTTCAGCCATCTCAATCTGGTGGTAGCCAGATTTGAGATCGATCTTGCTGAAAATTGTACAACCCTGCACCATGTCCAGCAGATCATCAATCCTAGGAAGGGGCTCTGTCGACTTCCTAGTTATTTTGTTGAGACCCCGATAGTCTATGCACATTCTGAATTCTCCATTTCCCTTTGGAACAAAGAGAATTGGAGCCCCAAATTCAGAAGTGCTCGGTCTGATCCAGCCCTTGCTGGTCAGGTTCTCGAGCTGTCTCCTGAGCTCATCGAGTTCAGCAGCTGACATCCTGTAGATACGGCCCTTGGGAGGGACTGCACTTGGCAGGAGCTCAATCCTGTGCTGGTTTGTCGGTGGACAAGTCCAGTCGGCTCCTGCATCAGGTTTGGGAACCGGTGTCAGGCGGCCACAAGTAGTGCGCCGCCTGAAAACGGCATTTTTGGGACTTAGGCTCGAGGGCAAGTCCGTGTCTTAAGGGTACTTTGGTTTGACCATACAGCAGAAATTAGAGGAACCCAGGGTATCCCTGATTCTGGGTACACTGAACCTTACGACTAACCCTTAGAGATAGCAAGATAGGTGGGCGCACTCGGTGTGTCTAGAGGCCGCCATTTCCGGTCGTTCAGAGGGCTGGAGCCGGTTTGGCCTGCCGCGAGGAGGCATCGCGGGAGCAGACCTCGCCGCGACATTTTTGCGGCATACAACCAAGGCCGAAGTGAGGCTTCAGATTTTGCCTATTTTAGTACCGTAATTAAAAATGGAAAAAAGGGATTAAGACCAGGAGGGGAGCAGAGAAGAACATGATCCCCCTTATTTTCTTCATTTTCCACGACATTTAATCTTAGGGGGAATTCCCTTGTTATTTTATGTTTCCGGCAATGAAATTAAAAACATAGAAAAATATTAAAAATCGTAAAAGAGAAAAGAAACAAAACGAAATCGGTCATTTATTTAAATTTTCTTGGAATTTAATTTTGGA